TCCATAGTACCAATATCCTTCGGAATTCTTCCTGTCACAAGATTATATGACAAATTTAATGAATGAAGGCCCCGGAGACTTGTCAATTCCTCAGGGATCTCTCCCGATAAATTATTATCTGAAATATCCATGCTCGTAACTAGTTGAAGAATAGTGCTATATCCCGTCATTTGTCCTTTTATTACCAATAATGCATTCTCTGAAAAACCTTCAAAAGAGGCTGAAGTGCTAGTATTAGGCTAGTATGACATTTTTCTGCTTGAGTTTTGTTGTATGGCCATAGCACTCAAATTCATGAAACATGCTGGTATACTTCCTGAAAAATTATTATGTGCAAGATCCAAGATTTGAAGTGAACTGAGTGCACACAGTTTCTTAGGAATGTGGCGTTAAAACTTATTTGATCTTAAGATAAGAATCTTGAGATATGAAAGCCTTTCTCCTATCCATGTGGGTATACTTCCTGAAAATTCATTTTCACCAAAATCAATAGCCACTAACCTTATGCAATTTTGCAGTGACAGAGGTAATTTCCCAGATAGGCTATTGTTTCATAAATGCAACGATTTGAGAAAATCTAGAGATCCCATGGAGCTTGGGATTTTGCCACTTAGATTGTTATTTGCTAAATTTAAGAACTCCAAGCTATTCCAGCTCGCCCAACAGTTGGGCAATTCTCCTGACAAAAGATTTCTTTCCAGGTTAAGAAGCTGCAGGTTCTTAGATTCATCCATCTTAGAACACAAAAAATGATAAATAGATCCAGAAAATGCATTGTTTGAAAGATCAAGTGTCAATATATTTGACGACAAAAGAGGTAGTGTACCATTTAAGTGGTTGGAACTGAGGTCAATTTATGGGAACGACACAGATGCGGCTAAAAGCCCATCTACAATCTCACCATGGATATAATTGTGAGAGAAATTTAAATAGAAAATCTGACATGATAAGTTCCAAAACCACCTAGGAATGGTATCAGAAATTTCTGTATGTGATATGTCTAGAGTCCCTAATTTTTTCTGTGAATGAAGCCAATGGGGAAATTGTGGACCTAACCGACATGACCTGAATGACAATTCCTAAAGTTGGAATGGAGGAACCCAATTTGGACTGACATTCAAGAACAATTGATTCCCAGACCCATCTAGATACTTCAATCGTGTGAGGTTGGCGAAGTGGACTTCAGAGATGACACCTTGTAATGAATTTTGTGACACTGAAAGTCTCTCTAGATGTGCAAGTTGGCCAAGACTTTCAGGAAGAGGTCCACTCAAGTTATTGTTATGAAGATATAAATTCTCTAGATGTGCAAGTTGGCCAAAACTTTTAAAGAGAGGTCCACTCAAGTTATTGTTGCTAAGATATAAATTCTTCAGGGAGCATAATCTTCCCAAGGACACTGGAAGTTGACCAAAAAGAGAATTACAAGAAAGATCAAGGGTAACCAATTTTTTAGATTTTCCAAGTTCAGGAAAATGGCCCCGAAGTTTATTGGCTCTTAAATCTAGAGTTTCTATTTCATCTAAAATGCAACTAGACAAAATGTTTGAAATCTCCAATATATCACCACCAAGTTCAACACCTGCCAGTATGAGTACTTTCAAGTTGCAAAGATTTTCAAAGGATCTTGGCAATCTCCCTGTGAACAAATTCCATGATAAATCAAGATATTCAAGATGACTAAAATTAGATAGCCTATCAGGTATTGTAAAATTGAAGAAATTTCTGGACAAATCAAGGTGTTTAAGAAGGCTAAAACTAGGTAGCCACTCAAGTATTATAGAATGAAAAGAATTGGAGGACAAATCAAGGTATTCAAGAAGGCTAAAACTAGATAGCCAATCAGGTATTGTAGAATTGAAGAGATTGTAGGAAAGATCAAGATATCTAAGAGAAATGATGTTTCTCAGATCACTTGGAATTGATCCATATAAACCACATGATCTCAAATTGAGATGATCAAGGCCACGAAGACTAAGCAGTCAATCAGGTGGGATGAAGGATTCAAAAGGGTTACCAGAAAGATCAAGGATGGCAAGAGAAGTAAAATTAAGAACATGTAAAGGAGGAAAGTGATCAATCCCGCAATTGCCCAAGTGTAACTCTACCAAAGAAGGGAGCATGTTGATTTATTGCAACCAATCATGTGTTTTGCTGAGGTTCACGCTCTCTAGATCAAGGTGCTGCAACAAGGAACTACCAGAAATCCATTGAAGAGTGTGAGCATATAGATTGCCCCAATCTTCAAGTCTAAGATAGTGCAAATTGGAGAGGTTCCCCAGTTGATAAGGAATCACTCCTTCAAAATCTCCCCAAAGATGAAGGGAGTGCAAATTGGAGAGGTTCCCCAGTTGATAAGGAATCACTCCTTCAAAAGCTCCCCGAAGATCAAAGGAGTGCAAAACAGAAAGGTTTCCTAGTTGACTCGGGATGACACCTCCAAATCTAGTAAAGGAGAGATTAAGATATCTTAATGTCACGGGCTTAGAGTTTCAGCACCACTCTAGCTGCTCCCGTGCAGCACCAAGACGTTGTTTCCACTCTCGCAAGTACTTGGTCAGCCTAACTCCCGTGCACATCTTAGCCAACTCCCCTCGTGTGCTTACTAGTGTTGTAGTGGCCCTTGCCCTCTCCTCACTTGGCTTGCACACTCACACACACTAAGGCACTTAAGTTGGCAAGGAAAGAACATTTCTATTACTTCAAAGAATGCTTTATACAAAGCTAGCACTCAAACTCTTTACAAGGCTCTCAAGACTCACTCCAGGACTTGTTACCAACAAAATGAAGTCCCACTCCTATTTATAGGCATCCCCATCCCTAATGGATGGCTAGGATGCATTCTAACCGATGGTGGAGATCGATTCTCTAGAATCTTCTCACACCTTCTTCACACTTCCATATATATCTACAAGTATTTACAATATTCTAGAACTCTCCATACTACTCCACACAACTCTGGAGAACTCTAGAACCTTCCACATACTTCTACAATATTCTACACCTATCTAGAATTTTTCACATAACTCTAGACTACTCCGGAAGACTCTAGAAACTCCCATGCCATGCAATCGCCATGTAGCGTCCTCCTCAGAGTCTGCGTGTCGCTTGCGTGGCACAACCTCCATAGGCGGGGCATGACATTCTCCCCCACCCATTTTTGTGACGCCCTCGTCACGATTTCTTCAGCTGACCCAGCCTCTCGCAGGTCATCAGCACTTGCGCATATGTCCTTGACCCAAATGTACGAGCACCCTTCGGGAGATGTGAGGTCCTCACGAGCTCCATCATGTTGACTACCACCTCTGGACTCTCCTTCCTGCCCACGAGCGGCACCATGCATGCAGCCTTGCTTTCCTCGCCTCCAAGTATCATCAACGCACCAAGGCATGGTAGTGGTGCGGCGTTGTTTCTGTCCATGAACTCTAGCCCCAGCACTATGTTGTGGTCGTCCATCTCTGCAACCTGGAAGTCGGCCTTACCCTTCCACCCTTGCATGCATAGCTCCACCTCCTTGCACACTCTACTCACGTATGCCTCCTTGAAGTTGACGGCCTTGATCCAACCCTCCATCTTGAGCATATCCAAGCCAAGTCGCTGCGCCTCCTTCGGGGTAATAAAGTTGTGTGTGGCGCCCATGTCCACCAATGTTTGCATGGCTTTGCCACCAACTTGCGCATCTACATAGCGCACCCCAACTACCTTTTTCGCCTTGCCTTTCTTCTTGGTGTCATGGGTCATGTTACTCAGCATCTGCATAGCCCCCATGCACCTGTTTTCGTCGCTACCCTCATCGTCCATCTAACCCTTGCCCTTATCCTTCACAAAAGCATTCATGGTCTTCTTGTTGGGGCAGTGTCGCAATATGTGCGGCCCTTCGCACAAGTAGCACTTCGGCTCCTATTTGCCCTTGTCGTGGCGCTTCCCTTTGCCACTGGCCTTGGACCTCTCTCCATGATCCTTGCCCTTGTCATGGCCTGGGCGTCTCTCCTCATCATTGTGTTCATCATCATTGGACTTGGATGAGCCCCCTTCTTGAAGCGCCGATCTCCCCCACCTTTGCCGTGGTCCCTCTTGGGAGACGTGGCCCTCTTGTCATCACGCTTAAAGTCTTCAAGGCATTCCGCTATAGCCATTGCGGATGCCAAGTCTCTAGGCTCCCTCCTCCTAAGCTTCATGGCCACCCAAGACTGCAGCCCATCTATGAACAAGCACACGCATTGCCGCTCTAGTATCTCTGGGATCCCCAGCATCAAGTTAGAGTACTCCTTCACATACTCCCTTATGCTGCCCTTTTGCTTTAGGCGCCTTAGGTTGATCATGGCGAGGTCCTCGACTCACTCAAGGTAGAACTGCCTCTTGAGCTGCCTCTTGAACTCCTCCCATGTGTCAACCGCTCTTGCGCCTCTACCGGTGAAGCACTGCCTCCACCATAGAGCGGCAGTATCTGTGAGGTACATAGTGCCTGTCTGCATCTTCTCCTCATCATCCTAGATCTCCATGCACTCGAAGTACCGCTCCATGTGCCAGAAGAAGTTGTCAATCTGGCGCGCATTCCTTGCCCCATCATACTCCTTAAGCTCTGGCACCTTCTTCTTCCTTAGCTTCACCATGACCTCGCGCGCCTGGGAGAACTCCTTCTTGCACTCGGCAATCTCCACGCGCAAGTCGTCTACCCGATCATGCAAGTCCCTTTCCTTCTCTTATGCTTTGTTGGCGATGCCATCAATCAGCTCGTAGAGTTCTGCCATCCTTCTCTCGAGCCTGTTAAACTTGGTCTCTGTGTAGACCAAGTGTGTGGCAAGCTTCTCCTCCAAGCTCTGCTCCAAGACATGGACTTGGTGGTCTCCTCCGCTAGCCATGTATACTCCAACAAAACTCCCTTGATGAACCGGCTCTGATACCAACTATCACGGGCTTAGAGTTTCAACACCACTCTAGCTGCTCCCGTGCGGCACCAAGACGTTGTTTCCACTCTCGCAAGTACTTGGTCAGCCTAACTCCCATGCACAACTTAGCTAACACACTCCCCTCGTGCGCTTACTAGCGTTGTAGTGGCCCTCACCCTCTCCTCACTTGGCTTGCACACTCACACACACTAAGGCACTTAAGTTGGCAAGGAAAGAACACTTCTATTACTTCAAAGAATGTTTTATACAAGGCTAGCACTCAAACTCTCTACAAGGCTCTCAAGACTCACTCCAGGACTTGTTGCCTACAAAATGAAGTCCCACTCCTATTTATAGGCATCTCCATCCCTAATGGATGGCTATCTTCTCCCACCTTCTTCACACTTCCATATATATCTACAAGTATTTACAATATTCTAGAACTCTCCATACTACTGCACACAACTCTGGAGAACTCTAGAACCTTCCACATACTTCTACAATATTCTACACATATCTAGAATTTTCCACATAACTCTAGACTACTCCGAAAGACTCTAGAAACTTCCATGCCATGCAGTCGCCATGTAGCATCCTCCTTAGCGTCTGCATGTCGCCTACGTGGCACAACCTCCATAGGCGGGGCGTGACATTAAGCTCCTAACAGAACCAATGAAGCTTGGAAAATCCCATTAAAATAGTTGCCGCTAAGATCCAAGTAAGTTAGATGCTTCAAATCCAGCAAGGATGGATTTAGATTACCTCCAGTAAGCCTAGACCTCTGAAAAGCTTCATATTCATATTCATCTCTGTAATCTACAAAAGGAGTTGGAAGGTGGAGCTCCTCAACGTGGCCTGTTAAATTGTTACAGACAACTCCAACCCATTCACAACAGTCCCCTCCTCCTCTTGATTGATCAGCAGCCCATGAGAAGAGACGATTTGAAGGATCACTGAGATCTTGCTTGAATCTCAGAAGGGCTTGTCTTTCACTCTCCACGCAAACCACGTGACCAGAATTGTTGTTTCCACTGCACAAGACAATAATTGTATCAAAAGTTAGTACTACTGAAGTGATCAGAAACACAATTGCAATATTAACATTTGTCATGGATTTTGCCATAATCATGCAGGCATCTGTATAGCAACAGCTAGTAACTAAAACTATATATATTGAACCCGAAAGATTTATGGATGAGAATGGAATTGATGGAAGATGTGCAATGTATTTATAGCAGCAAGTGTCGGCCTCAACGAGTCAATGGTCTTTAAATTGTCTCTTTTCAGAAAGTCTTGCGTAATTTCATTAAATAAGAGTCTCAAAACCAAACTTTGCCCTTCAATGCTTTACCAAATACTCCTTCATGAAAAAATGTCATATAAAAATATAACCCTTTTCAGCTGTATAGTAATTTTTAGCTTTTGTTTGGATTAATGGAATTAGAAGGAAAACAGACAGAATAGAAAGAAACATACAGTAATTTCCATATTTGGTACGTTTATCATTAAACAAAAATAAAAAAATAAAAAAAATAAAAAATAAAAATTGAAGAAGAAAGATAAGGTGAGATTTGGACGCATAGCTTAACCTTCCAAAGTTGGGTAGGTACTATCTGTTTGTAATTTTTTCCCAATACAATTTCTTAGTGCCTAGTTATTTTTTTAATAAAATAAATTCTAAAATATAAACTTAATAAGACTAGCAATTTGAGATACAATACGTAAATTAGATAATAGTAAATGTTAGAAATAGTAGCTAAATTTCATTAATGATGTGGCTCAAATGTAGACAAATATTGCTCGTTTTCACAAGTCTTTGCTTCAATAAAACGTGTCTCATGGAAAAGGTTATGGCCATGTTGGGAACCAATGTGGAAGTTCAACAATTCATCTGTTGGGTCAACGCATTCATACCATGTAATGTCGGCCATTGGTGACTCATCTGTTGGGTCAACGCATCCATACCATGTAATGTCGTCAATTGGTGACTTTCAGAATAGTTTATACACTGAGAGCAGTTTTAACTGTTGTGTACTTTTTTTTTTTTTTTTGCATGACGTGTCAGATAAATTTACACAAAAAAATTAACTTATTTATTTTTATTTCCAGAAATTATTTTACATTTTTTGTGTAAAAATATATCCTTCAATAACAACCAATTAGTATTATGACTGGAATCCACATAATTTTTACAAATTTACTTAATATAGGATTGATTCATTAATGGAATGAGAAAGAGGGAGAATAAAAGAAATATATTGATGTAGCTGTTTAAAAAAATTGTGTAAAATACACAATAATTTTACAAATTAGTGACATAATAGTATATCTTAACATACAGCTAGAGAAAAAAAAAAATTTACACATCAGTGTATATTTTATATAAAAGAATATTTTAACAAACTACCGAAGATACTCTAAGTATAATAAAAATTAAAAATTCACCAATTAAAATGTTTATACTACTATAATTAAAAATTATAAAATAAAGCAATGATAGCATCCTAGTGTAAATATGAAATTTCCCGTTAAATAAAGTTTAAATTGTGTTTATTGTTACAGCATGCTTGAATTTGGTAAAAAAAATCAGCTATGGGGAAGATGGACGGGTTCAAAACATTTCTTAAATGTTATTGGGCACATTTAATCAATTGGACATTGGATGAGATGATTCATGCTTTCAATCGGTCAGTCAATTGTGGTCTTGGTAATTGTTTGCGGCTGATTAAATGGGGCTGATTCATTCATGCTATATAGCTGAAATTTCAATGATTCGTGATTCCTGCTATGCTATATAGCTGGCACATTTAAACATTATTTAATAGGAAGCTCAGAAGTCCACATCACTCTAAAAATCACCAAATTCCACATCAACAACCCAATACTGTTTGGTCACATCATTAATGAATTTTAATGAATAAATATGTGACATAGCGATATCAATTCTTTATTTTGAAAATAAAAAATTATGAGTTCAAATATCAGAACAAACAAATGTTTGTGAATATTAACTAAAAAAATAAAATAAACCACAACAAGCACCCAATACATTTAAGAAATCTTTTGAACCTATCCGTCTTTCCCATTGCTGATTTTTTTTACCAAATTTGAAGCATATTGTAACAATAAACACAATTTAAACATTATTTAATAGGAAATTTCATATTTATAGCCCGATGTTATCATTGCTTTATTGTTTATGGAATGAATAAAGCTCGCGTCCTCTCCTAAGAGGATGAAGTTCATCCTTCAACTTATATGGTCTAATATAATTAGAACATATGTCTTAAAAAATTAAAAATTAAAGAGTTAAACCATTTTTTTTTTCTTTCTTTTTAGCTTTCGTTCTTAATCAAGCTCGTTTACCTCTCTTTCCCTCAACAAAATAAATCTGTCTCTTTCTCTCTTGTCACAAGCATAATTACACAAATATATATAGTCAGTTATTAAGCAATTGTTTAGCCACTACAAAATAAAATTGGGCCTCATTCCTTACAAAACTATAAACAAACAAGGATTGAATCCGAAGTATCCCCTTAACCAGTAACTACCTCTTTGAATTTTTTTTAACAGATATGGAGTTGATCAAAACTTTAATTATTAAAACAAAGCAAAAATGCTTTCTTGCTCATTTTCATTGAATAAATATATATCAAGTACAGAAAACTTGTAATAAATAAAATAAAAAAAAAAAAGGAAAAAGATCGTTATACAACAATATTAAGACTAAAAAAGGATTCGTTTGGCTGTGTAGAGAGAGGGGAAGAGCTGTAAATGATCATGATTCAGAAGGGAAAAAAAAAAATTAGAAGAAGAAAATAAAACTGTTAAATGAAAGAATAAATAAATAAGGGTTTAACTTGTAAGAAATGGATAATGCCCAAACTTTTTTATTTTTTAAACATGTATTATAATTATATTAATTGGACCACATGAACTCTAGAATGAACTTCATCAATCCTAGGAGGACCCAAACATTGTCCTAAAAAGACATTAATAGAACAAAAATAGCAATCATCCCCTATAAGCTCCAAAACTAGCGATAGACAATATTGACTATGTGTGAAAAAACAGTTCTTTTTGTATATATTATATTATATTATTAGTTTTAAAGTTATTCTTGTTATTTTCGTGTCACTTTTATTTATTTATTGTTTTACCTTCTTATATATGTCGTCATATCACCGTGTTAAACATAACTCTGACAAGTTAATATTTATAGTTAAGTTGTAGGATAAACTTAGCCATAAATCATTAGAGAATCCTAAGTACCATAATAGTATTATTATTAATTTTTTGGTCTCTCTAATCTTATTTTGATGCTAATTATAAGTGAAGAGAAACACACTACTCACATATATCACGCAATGCAAGCTCCATTATTAACAAGTTTTCTTAATTTTCACAACTAGGCAATGTCAATGAAATTTCAGTGATGACTACTTCTGCACAAAATACAAATTTGCTTTATGAAAAGCGTACATTACTTTATTATTTACTTTATATAAAGTGATTATGAGTATAGACCATTTGCAACTTTAATATTATCGTCAAGATAAATGGATACAATTAAGCCGTCAAAAAGTTAGGCAATTACATTACGGTTAGAAAAACAATAACTTTAACTTTGGGGGAAAATAAAATAAATTAAGCAATAATTTTCACCAATGATCTCCCCAGCATAACAACCTTTCGAGGAAAAAACATAGAAATACTAATTACATTGTCCATCAGATTTGGAAGGAGTGAAATAATACGATGTCGAGAAATATTTCATTATCTCCAATCCAAACAATGAACTCAGTGATCAATGCAATCAGACTAAGCTATTCTCTATCAAGAAATTTGAATGCCTATTTGTGAAAGAAATTGCAACAGATTGGAATCTCCCATCATCATTTTATGAGCCTGCCCAATCAAACCCCTTCTTCCATTTCGCAACCACCCAACACACAACCTCCACCACCTTCACCACCACCTCCACCACCGATCCCAACTGCTCAACACCCCCAACCATAGCCCAGTAGTGTTGATACTTTATGGTTTGTTGATTCATTCCACCTGAGGATGTGATTGAAGGTAGTTTACATACCTGTGTGCAGAATGATGTATTTTTTTGGACCATGGGCTTAGTCAGGTTTTGGACTTCTTTATTGGGTTCTTTGGGCTACTATAGTGGACATTTTGTTCTTTGTGTACTTGCCCAGTAATGTCTGGGCCGAGGAAAATGACCTCCTCTTTTGTAATTACTCTTTTTACATTTATGAATTACTTAATTATTGAAAAAACAAAAAAACAAAAAAACTTTTTCACCAATGATTTCCAACATGACAATATATACCCAAGAAAAATACATAAAAATGTTTAAAAAAAAAAAAAAAATTTATTCTTTATCGTGATTTGTGAGTTGTACGCAACGGAATGTACTTAGGAAAGTTTTGGATTATGTTAAAACAAATTTGTATCTTTTCCAACTTTACTTATTTTAGCAATTAACCAATTAATCACACGCAGATAAAATAAAGCAAAGTATAAAGTTAGAGATGGCACCAGGATTTTAGCGAGGAAACCCCAGTTGATAAAATACGTCAACTGTTATGGGAAAAACCTCGTGAACTGTGTAGTTCAAAGTAAACCGATCCACTATGCTTGAAACAAAGTACACTGAAACTCTAGCTCACACCATATCTTTCTACCAAACACCAACTGCTAACAATCCTCTGGTTTTGCGACTCTCCATCCAACAGCAACTTGACCTCAGGCTTATGCTTAATATTTGTAGAAGAGTAGTAGGTAGATTAAACAACACTCCTCAAATGCTCCAACCCTTTCAAAGTGTGATCACTTTTACTTCTTTTCTTCAACTATCTAAACTTGATATAGAAGAAGATCTGCTTTTGTCTGATCGATGTAGATGCAACTGAATGATCACGTTTATAATTTGAATACCACAACTCTAACCTCACTAGGTGAATATGTATGTGTTCTAGGAAGATAATAGAAAAATCAACTTTGATTTTTTGAGAGGGATAAACTTCCTAAGGCTTTGTATAATATATGAATAATGATGTAAAGCCGTAAATAAACCTATGTATATAACATGGTTTATATAGAGGTTTGCAAAGTCCTATTCCTTCTGAAAGGAAATTTCGTGCATAAGGCTTGGAAGGAAAATTGGAT